TGAGCTGTGCGCGTGTGGCTTGGACGGCGCACTACGAAAGACAAGCACGACCGGCCATTGAGGTCGCTCACTCGCACGCGCATCGTCACCCGCTTGCCGCGGAGCTGCGGCAGTCCATAGTTCTGCAACTGCCGACGCAACGGCCGCAACGGTCGGCGGGTTCGTGTCGAAGATACGAAGATCCGGATTTCGAACTTCGACGAACTTCGAGTGTTAGATTGAATTACTTCAATTTAGACCAATGCCTGGTCTCTGGCCTGTGCCGTTTAAATTAAATCGACCAATGCCTGGTCTCCATTTCCGAATTATAGCCAATGCCTAGTCTCTATTCCACCCACATCCTACGAGGTAGTCCCCATCAATTATTTGTCGGCCTCCAAAAAACTTGAGAAAAACTTTGTGGCTCCAGGTGATTAAAACGGACCTCGAGCGACCCAAGTCTTTTAGATCGACCGTTTTTTGATTGGCTGAAATTGGGGGTGCCCTCGTCGGCTGTTGGCCAGTTTGCTTTTGCGCGGTCAAGCGACGCGTATGCCGCGCCTTCGTCGATGGTACCTCGAAGGTCGAAACAGTGCGCGCGCGCCGGAAGCTGGAGCCGCTCATCGAGCGCCTACATGAACGCCTGCACGAGCGCCTGCACGAGCGCCTGCGTGAGCGCTGGCTCCAGTCGTCGCCCGCGCATGCGGTAGGTCAAGGAGCGCTGGACGCCCTCGGCGGGCACGGCGCGTTGGAAGAAGGTAGCTTTCCTGTGTCACGAGTTTTCAGGAAGCGTCGGCCATACACCTGCGCTCCCGAGGTCGGATGAGAACGAATCCCTCAACTACGAGCGCTGCGTTCCCGACGATGAGGAGCGCTGCGTTCCTGACGATAAGGAGCGCTATGCTACTGCCATCCTCGGCTGTCAGGGCATTCTGTCGGCCGCTTCCAAGCGGAGTAGTGGCACACAGGCTTGCGATGCACTGCTGGAGAACGTACATACCGTCTTACATCAGGCGCTGGAGTCGTCGACCTGGAGACCGTCGGCGTGCCAGCGCGGGCGCCCAACGTTTCTCGTTTGCACCATGCGCCAGTCTCAGGCCACGCAAGATATCGTGCGAGCTTCACCTCGTCGTCGTCGACGCAGATAAGCTGGTGGCACCGAGCACGATCGCAAAGCACTAAAAGACTTTAGAACCTAAGACCAACCGGTGGCGGAAAAAGACTTCATTTTTATTCATCCCCAAGAATTTCAATTAAAATACAGTTCTTTGACGTTCTTTACGCTAATTATCCGTAAAAGACTTAAGACTAAAGACCAACCAGTAAGGATGCCCTTAGTGTTGAGACTGGGGCTCGCTCCTCGCCAAGGCACGGCCTGCACTAAAGTCAACACCCTACCTCCGCTGCGCTGCGGTGGGCAGACTTTTCTGGGCCGATGCTCTGTCATCGCTCGCTGCCGTAACATACTTTTTAAGGGAATTTTTAGCTTGGTCCCTTTTTGTCACGCATGGGGGCTGATTTTGCGGGTCGAAGGGGGGCTGATTTTGCAAATTCCACGTCCCCAGCCTTTACGAGCCACGAGCCACGAACCGATGCCGATTTCCACGCGAGTGTCGATGTACATTATTGTCTTATTCGGTGGCGACACCAAAAAAGGCTATGTATCGCCCCGACGCCGCCACCAACCAAACTGCAGGTTAGGAAAGCCGGGTTACGCCGAGTCTTGGATCGCCTGCGAGGCCACGAGCGCGCTAAAAGCCGTGCCGTCGCGCTGGAGCTCGGTGAACGTGCCCGTCTCGACGATGCGTCCACCTTCGAGCACAGCGATCGAGTCGCACGTTTGGATCGTCGACAGGCGGTGCGCGATCACAAGAACGGTAATGTTGTCGAGCTGCCGGAGCGTCGACTGCACCGCGTGTTCGCTCTGGCCGTCGAGCGCCGCGGTGGCTTCGTCAAGCACGAGCAGCTGCGGGCGCTTGATTAAGGCGCGCGCGAGGGCGAGGCGCTGCTTCTGGCCGCCCGAGAGCGACGTTGGCGTCACGATCGTGTCGTAGCCGTGCGGCAAGGCCGCGATAAAGTCGTGGGCGTGGGCGGCATGGGCCGCACGCACGACATCGGCCAGCGTCGCCGCCGGCGTGCCGTACTGGATGTTCTGACGGATCGTCATGGAAAAGAGAGCGGGTTCCTACTCCATCATAGTATCCAATCAGCATCGGCGGTCGCGATGGACAGGTTGTCTCGTACCTGGCGGACCATGCCGATGCGCTGGCGCAAATACGTCGTGTCAATCTCCGAGAGCGCGACGCCGTTGATCGAGAGGACGCCGGACGTCGGCGTGAGGAGCTTGGTGAGGAGCCCGGCGATCGTCGACTTGCCGACACCGCTTGCACCGACGAGTGCGACCATGGACCCGTGCGGAATCGTCCAGTTGCAGCTCGTCAGCACGGGCGCCTCGGGCCGCGACGGGTACTGGAAGGACACGTGGTCGAAAACGATCGGGCCGCCGAGGAGCGGCATCTGGCGCGTGGCAGTGACGGCGGCAGCGTCGGCGTCAATCAGATCAAAGAGCGCGGCCGTCGACTCGTTGGTCGTGCGCATTTTGGTCATGAGCGTCGAGAGCTGGGAAAAGCCGAGGCACATGAACCCAGAGTAGAGGAGGAAGGACGTGAGTCCGCCGGTCGTGAGGTCGCCGGCGGCGACGATCGAGCCACCGACCCAGAGCACGCTCGAGAGCGATGCGTTCACAGAGAGCGAGAGACCGCCCATGAAGAAGCCTTCGGCGGCGTGGTACTTGCGCGCCGTGGCCGCGACCAGCGCCGTCTCGGCTTCGAAGCGGGCACGCTCAGCGTCTTCCTGCGTGCAGAGCTTGACGGCGGCGATGCCTGCGAGCTTCTCGTCCGTCGACGCGCGAAGCGACGCAAGCGCCGCCTCGTACTGCTTGCTGAGGCGGTTCATGAAGAGCTTGAAGCTCATGGCCGAGATTCCGAGGCACGGCAAGGTCGCGAGGGCGACGAGCGTCAGCTTGGGCGAGAGGCGGAAGAGCATGATCGACGCGCCAATGGACGAGTTGAGCGACCGGTAGCCCTCGGCGAGGAGCGCAACGGCCGAGTCGGCGGCGACTTGGCACTCCTTTGTCAAGCGGTGCACGAGCTCGGTGCGCTCGGCGCTCGAGAAGAAGAGAGGTCTTGGCGCAGAAGCGCTGTGTACAACCGATCGCGGAGCCGCTTGGTCGTGGTCTCGGCGACCGACCCGAGGCAGTAGACGCGCACGAACGACGCCGACGCGCCCGTCAAGAAGATCGAGAGCACGCTGAGGAGAAAGGCCTTCGTCGACATGTTGCGCGGGGCCGGGCGGCCACACGCTACGTCCAGCGCCGTGCCCAACACCTTGGGGAAGAGCAGATTGGTCAGCGACGACACCGACAAGCCCGCGATACCGGCGCAGAGCGTCGGCCACTCCTGCCAGAGCAGACGCAGCAGCTTGCGCACGTTGCTCGGCGTCGGCTTGGATGGGCCCGCGCCGACGTCGGTGGGTCCCGGCGCCTTGGCCCGCTCCAGCAGGTACGACGACCGCCACACCATTCTTGTTGCTCCAGGACTGCACCTTCCATGGCGTTCACGTCGTGGGGGTCCCTTGATTTCATGCGAATCGATCGACATACATAAATCAAGTTGATGGTCCGCGCCTGTTATAAGCAGGGTACCCGGACCCCTAAATGGGTCGCATAGACACGCCCTTTTGGGAAAGCAACATTTAAAACATGTTTTAAACACATCGCGACTCTCTGGCTGGTGTGGGAACGCTAGCCCTGGTAGCTACGCTCTCCGACCACCCAAAGCTGCCGAACCACCGCAAAGGGTTTTGTCATCCTAGCAGCATCGGGCGTTAGCAAGACTGCACTGACATTGCAAACCCTTTTCTCGGCCTTTAGAATCGACTACTAGTACCGTACGAGTACAGTACTTGCAATCTAGTAGTACGACGCATTGCTAGTACATTTCGTACGACTGCCTTGCACTAACTAGCTCATCCTCACGACAGCATTCGTTGGCAGCGCGTGGGCACGCGCTGGGAGGCAATCTCGTTTTCGGACAAGGCTTTTCACGCGCCTCTTTGGCTAATCTTCGGCGAAACGAACGCAGCGGTGATTGGCTACAAAGTTTTCCATCCGACGTGTGATTGGCTGCGAAAGTTTGTGAAACCGGCGCGACCTTTCCAATGGCCTGCGCACAGTTCATTGCAGTCTTGATTTGGCGCCTTCCCACTCGATGAAAGTCGCACTTCTCTTCTTGGCTCTTTGGCCGCCGCCCAGCAGCTGACGCCAGCACCCACGGTCGCTACTACCACGACGACGATCAAGGCAAGTACACTCAAACCAGCCCCCAAGGGCACTACTGTATCAGCGCAGATCAAGGCCGGCGTCAACGCGCCGGCGAGTGTCGGCTTGACCCGCGCGGTAAGCGTCAAGCCAAGTACGAACAAGCCCGCTAATGCGGCTATTGTCACGAAGCCAATTAAGGCCAGTGTCAACGCCACTGCCAGTGTCAACGCCACTGCCAGTGTCAACGCTTCTCGCGCAGCCACGGTCATCAAGCCAAGTACGAAGAAGCCAGCGCCTACTGTCTCGACGCAGATCAAGGCCAGCGTCAGCACCGCGAAGCTGCTCTCCGAAGTCGAAGACGCCGCCTACGGCCAGTACCAGCCTCCGTCGCAGCCCGCGTACAACCGTCAACCCAGCTACAACCAAGCTGGCTACGGCAAGCAGCCTGCGTATGGCTACGACGGCGACTACGAGCAGCCCGACTCGGATGACGGCTATGCCAGTGGCTTCAAGAAGCCCAGTAAAGGCTACGGCAAGCAGCCCAGCACCGGCTACGGCTACGCCGACGACAACGGCGACTACGACCCGACGCCGATTTCGGACGAAGACCGCTTTCACCGCTTCTACGACAACCTCAAGATCTGCAAGGCTGAGAACGCGCTCGAGAGCTGTATCATCTCGTCTGCGTCGCGCGCCGACTGCATGAGTGCGACGCGCATCAAGCAGTGCACGTCGTCATTCATCACGGGTCTCTGCTCTGACTTGGAGTCGACGACGACCAAGGAGTACGACAACGGCTACGTCAAGTGTTCGGCCGACACGTGCACGGACGCGGCGCTGGCCGACTCGCTCCTCGTGTACAACAAGCTGCTCCGCGACGTCAACACGGCGCTGGACGTGA